GGCCAGGGCTAAGAGCCACCGACTTCATCTTTAATACCCCTTCAGCATAGACTTATGGGGATGGGGTTTCTGGTTTTCTCATCTTTACTTTCCACCCAGTTCCAATCCATGCCCCAACGGGAAAGTTATTCATCTTGCGAGGTGTAGCTGAAGACAATGATGAGTCACATCTACCAATAGGCAAGGTCACTGTGAATTAAAAATTAAAAAAAAGAAAGAGAGAAATCTGCTCTTACCTGGGAAGTTTCTTTTCCACCTCCCTGTCTATGTAGCTGGTGGGTCAAGGACGCCATACAACATTAACCACCACAACAATGCTCAACTGGGGACTGTGGCTCTACCTGAACATCCATAGGACTTGTATCATTGATGAATAAAAAAATGTGATGGCAAAGACACATCGTGATTATATCTCTCACCATTACTTCACTGAAATAGGGAATGCAGAAAACAACTAAGTATGGAATTCTAAGTCATGCTCATCTATTAGACAATCTATATGAGCCACTGATTTGGGGTTATATGTATACAAAATTATAAGCATAAGGTAGAAAGCATCTGTTAAATGTCATCAGTGGTATACGGCTATGCTACTTTTTTCTTCTAAATCAGCACCTTTGATCTCCAATGTGGCTACTTCGGAACTACTATCGTTTTGTATTTACTTCAGGGTCTTGTGCAGCTTTGCCACTGTGATCAAACTACAGTTAGTGCATGCCTTCGGGTTTGTCTTTCCTAACCTATACCTACGCTTTTCTCTACCTGCCTTCCGGCATCATGTCTTCCCACTATTTTCTCATGTCTTGGCCATGGAGATTTTCAAAACAAATAAAAAGGCAGGTTGGTGTTCAAATGAGTTTGGCTTCTGTAATGTCTCTCTTCCTACTCAGGGCTCATTGTGGGCACCCTATAAAAGGATCCACTGGCATCCTCCTGGGATCTTTGAGGTGTAATCTTCTCTCACCAAATGTGGTCTCTCTTGCCAGTTCTTCTGAGATTCTTTCCTGGTTTCTGTCTCATCCCTTAGGCATGAGGTTTTGGACTTCCCCATATTTTTCTACCTCTCCCAGTGTAAAAAAAGTCCTCTTGGCACTAAGTTTCCCCGCTGTGTGTCAGCCCTTCCGCCTCCACTCTCATGCCTTTGTGCATACCTGAGCCTCACCTTGGGCACTACCTCCTGCCTTCAGGAGATCTAGTTGAGGAGTGAGAATGTTTTAAATTCTACTGCCAATGAAATGGTTTTTCAAAGCTGAGGGAAATAAGGACCATTAGCAAAAGTTTCTCATCAAGTTGCTTCCTTCTCTGGAGCTCACTTGCACTCTCTTTCTCTCTCACACCCACCTACCCCAATAGCTATTTCCTGAATCCTTGGTCCACCACTTGGTTCTGACTATAATTTTCATGGATTTGAAAGAGGGCTTTATTAGAGTTTCTTAAATAAACATTCTAATTCCAAGATGGAAACCCCCCAAACTATTTATTTGATTCTTTTTGAACAGGCCTGTGAATAGTTTTCCCTACAAAATGTTTCTAAAATGTTTAGATTTCAAGCAAAAAGTCACTGATAGCCTTAACTTGGATTCCTAAGTGGAAAAGTTCTGCTAAGTATACTGGGCCTGCCTAATGATGGGGAAGAAGCAAGCTTTGTGTTTTCTCTGTAAACAGAGAATCTTTTCCATTTGGCTAAGTAGCTGGAATTTGTAGGTTCTTTTTAACTGACTGGAAGCCATCTCAAGAGCAATAGCCAAGCTCTTCTTCTCAGTAATAGAAGCCATCAATGAAAGAACCCTTTCCACTCCACACCCAACCTCCACAACATTCCAACACCACCAACTTGATGAGCAGAATCTTTCTAGAAGGTATTACAATGAATATGGGCTTGTAATTTTCATGTTGTAGATAAGTGTTTCCATGGTGATTTCAACTTTTGTATACTTGCATATGATTGTGTAGACTGTGTACCACATAATGGCACCTTGCCCAAGGGGGTACCATTCACATCATGCATATGGGTATTTATTATGACAAATGTCTGTCAGAAGGCAGCAAAATGTCTCCCATAAAATCATCGTATTGTTACAATTTTCCAAAATATTGTGGGGCTGCCTTTTAATAAGTCACATAAAGGTTATTGGAAGTCATACAGACTAGATACTTTGACCTAGAGCAGTATCAATAGTAGGTGGGGCTCATGAAGCTGGGAGTCGGTATGCCAGGCTATTTTACATAACTGGGTATGTTTCACATCTTGAAATACAGTTCTAACATCATTCTTTCCAATGAAGACAATATTCTCTAGTTTATCAGTTCTCAATCACCTTTTGTTTCCACACCAATATATTTTCTCAGACACTCCCCAGAGTGAAGATTTGGGGAGAAGAAACGATGTGAATTTTTACAAGTATTTAAGGGAACTTCTCCTTCCTGCATTAATTGCTCCTCTAAAAGGCTTCCTCTATTGAGGAACAGTTGAAAATAACAAAACACAAACAGTTTTTTGAGAAAGTTTTACATACCTGCAATATAGTTTTGTGTTGGTGTTGACCTAGAAAAAAATGGGCTAAAAGCAATGAAAATCTTTGCTGCTTAACCCCTATTGAGACATTTTGAAAGATCTTTCTAGAAAGTTGAAAAATATATCTTTTCTTTCTAGTTTTAGCTAACGTATCTTTTTACTGACAATGACTTGGTTAACCAATGATTTGGTTAAGCTGTTGTAAGTTGAGCTACTATTACATGCTGTTGGTTAATTTACTAACAAAAATGTCCAATATTATTGACAGAAAATGCATCCTCCCCATACATTAAGTTATTACATGGTATAGGATCTGATTCTGGTTTAATCTGTTCACTTTTCTTTTTCTGTTTGATTTTGAAGTGGTATAACACCATTTCATTGTTCATTTTTACCATTAGGTAAAATGTAGTGAAT